TTACATATTTGGTTTATAATTGATACAAAAGCTGAGTTGTACATTCTTTCTTCGTTTTTCTATGCAAAATTAAAAATGATATTTATTGAACAGAGTACAATCTCGATTGGTTTTACATAATTCGTTTACTATTATTCATTTTATTTCCACAGTAGTCATCCTTCTCAGGATGTTAGCAACCAGGTCTCGAGGCAATTTGGGGTATGTTCTAATCCACCTACATAATAATATAATAAAGAGTCACATTTGCAAACTTATAATTGGCATAACATATATATATATATATATATATATATATATATATATATATATATATATATATATATATATATTTGTTGATATTTGCAGGATAGCACCGGAGTTGGAACTAGCCAGGGCCAGGGGAGTGGTGAGGATTGGGTCGTAGTAAGAGATATTCAGCCTTCACAAGAACCTCCTGAAAGAAGTTTGTCATGAAACTATTTTTTTAGTTCTTGCATATTTTTTTTCTCTTTACGAGGGACTCTAGAAATTTTAGCTTATTATCTTAGTGAAAAATACAAATATGATAGATATCTCTCTTTGTGCATCATTTTCTTGGTGCTTTCTTGAAAATACTCTGTTATTACATTGTCGCTAATCTCTGAATATTCAGTTTTTTCGTAGGATGCTGGATAAAAAGGTGCATTTAGTATATGCTCCTCATATGGATCAAAACAATAACATGAATATTCAACTTTTGAAAATATTTTGATTTTTAAGGCTGATCAGTGCATGTTTTCAAGATATTGATGGTTAGTTTATCTTTGCAGAAGACAAAAAAGGTCTCAATCTGGTGCAAATAGATGGATGGCCTTTGGGTGTAAGTGATGGATATGATTTTGGAATCTTAGGAGTAACAATTCTGTATTTTATAAACTTCAATCCAATAAAGAGTGCATACTATAAATGAAAATAGTCGAGCTATTTTTTCATTTATTAGCTAGAAATTGACCAAAATGTCTCCTGCGACAACAGGGCCCTGAATTAGGTCTCCGTATGCTTGACGAAATGTCAACCAATTTTCTGCAACCGTCACAGTCGTCGATAACACAAAATGAGCAAAAATTCCTTGTTGAATTAGATGCAGGTAAATTTCTACGTTGGCTCCAAATCCTTTCAAAAGATCTAGAAAGTGATTATTTGAGACAGAAAAGCAATTACATAGAGGACTCATACAAGGCCAAGCAATATCCATATCTTGGGTTTATAAGAGTCTACATTATGCACAACTTATCTAAAAGGCTTACACTAATACCTCGGTTGAGATTGCTCTACGAGGCAAAAATATAGTTAAGATATAAGAAAAAATGTTGGCAATTATATTGATTAAATCTTTATTCAATTTTTTTAGGTGGTTTTTCGTTCGACGAAGTTACTTGCTATAGCATCAACATCAACATCACCTTTTATTATTGGTCAAGCATAAGTCAGAATTTTTTGTCCTGTGATTTTTCAACTGACGGAAATTTTTTGGCATGTGCTGGACATGGGAAGAAGGTAATTCAATTCAATGCGACGAAGTTTTTTGTTTTTCTTGGAAACCCATCATTTAGAGCTTATTGTTTTTTTATAATGACAGGTTACAGTTTGGAACAAGGAAGAATCTAATTTTGCCACTACAGTAGAATCACATTCAAATGTCATCACAGAAGTTCGATTTCGTTCCGGTTCCGGTCCCCGTTCAACTATCTATGCTACATCTTCCCTCGATCGAAGTGTAAGAATATGCGATGCAGCCAGGGTAAGCTGTTACTTTTTTTTTTTTTGGTAAAAACTGTTACTTTTTTTTATCTTATTATCTTTCTGCATATTTATTTCATAAGCAGTAACTATTGTTTGATATATATAGCCTGACATTGGAGTAACCTGCACGCTTAAATGCAATAATCGCCGTTCAGTATTGTCATTGGACTTCCACCCGACAGATTGTGACCTTCTTTGCATGTGCAAAGACCATGATATGATTCAAATTTGGAATATAGAAAACCTTCATTGGATGCACACTTTTAGGGTGAGTTTTACACGTTTCTGTCAGATTTTTTCAAGAGGTTGTGCAAACTGCTTAATGAATAACTTCAAAATTAATGATTGAGGAGAATAACCAATATAGTTTTGTTTTAAAAAATATATATATTAAAATAATATAGTTTGGAAACTATTTATTAAAATAATATAGTTTGATCATTTAATCACTTTTTTATCACGTAGACCTCGCGAACATGTTAGGTTTTTGAGACATACATACTAAAAAATATAAACTTTTTTATTTATTTATCAAATTATGTATAAATAGTTTCCAAACTATATTATTTTAATAATTTTTATTTAAAAATATACTGTATTGGTGAATTAGCCTTAAAACTGCTTTCATCATAAATCTAAATCCACTATCTGGAAAAAAAAAAAAAAAAAACATGATGGAAAAACCTTATCGCACAGAACAACTAGCAGTAAGCGACTTCTATAATAATATATATTGCAGGGAGGTACTAGACAAGTTAAATTCCAGCCTCCATATGGGAAGCTTTTGGCTACAGCTTCAGAAAAGTTTATCAATATATTTCGAACAGGCACTTACAAATTCCGGAATAAACTACAGGTTAATTTATCATATTTCCTGCCTTCACTTGATTAAAATGTAGGTTTTGCAACATATATATTACATAACCTGACAGAATTTCACTTATTACTAGGGACATAGCAGAGATGTTCTTTCCATTTGTTGGCATCAAACTGGAAACTTCATTGCCTATATGAGTGAAGATGAGGCACGCTTCTGGTCTGCTGCCTCAAAAGGAGGTTTACTACATGTTTTGGCTTGCAAACACGGGAAATTTGAGTCGTGCATATTTCATCCTGGATATCCTAACCTCTTAATTATTTCTGGCCATGAGGTAAACTCTACATGCATACAGAAATTAGTGAGCATAAACGGTCTGAATAAATGAATAAATGGAAACTGCAGTACCTGGAATTTTGGATTCCTGAGAGCGGTTATACATTGGACTTTCTTCATAATGATGGGATAATTACTGGACTAGCAACTTCACCCCAAAATCAAATGGTTGCCTCAACAGTGATTGCGTGAAACTCTGGAAAATATAGTTCAAGTTAAAGTCTCTATTTGTAGGTGTAAATTTTCGTGATATTTGTATCATTGGATTTCCTTCTCTGCTACATTTTTTGGGTACAAGTTTACTTTGCTTTCTTATAGAGAAAAAAAAAACAAAAATTACAATACTTGAGATTTTTTTGGTACCTCATGCGCAGTTACTTATCAAATAAAAGATTCCAACGTACTGAAGCTTCCAAATAGTATTGTGAGGCTTCGGTTAAGAAAAATTAGGTTTGAGTTTTGGTGTACTCAATGTTCAAGGTCACATAATTTTGGACCTACATTACTTGACACATGGTATCTGACGTGTTTTATTCATGACTCTAACTGAAAAAAATAAATCCTTGAATGTGTTACAATTTTTTATTTTTACATTATTATTTTCTGAATTGTTGAGTTGTTTAAGTAGCGGGTAGTTATTTCTATTTCAACTTTCCTAAATGATAGGGTACAATTATTACTGGAGTCTATCTAGTGCTAGTGGGTAGTTATTTCTAAAGTTGTTTTGTATTATCTATTTAATCCTTGAAGTATTTGAATAAAGATAATCATAAGAATTATTTGAAAAAAAAAGCACTCTGTGCAGCAAGTCAGGCTTCATCAGTAAAACCATTTGAGGTCATGCTTCCTCGATAAAGCCAAATTCCCATTTTTATTTATTGTGTTTGTAACAATTGGTAAGCTCAGGCATGGACAAACGCGTTCAGAAATTGGAAGACGCGGTCCAATCTTTGTTGGAGCAATTCAAGAAGATGTTCAACCAATTCTCCAACCGGTTGGACGTCTTGGTGGCTAATAGGCCCAACACTCTCTCATATGGTTTTGGGCTGGCAAAACTATACGAGGCTCGCGATCAGAAGATCATCTTTGTGCGACAGACCATGACAATTAGCAACACCAAGGGTTCACCTTTATCCACTCTCATCAGCAGTGCTGCATCTTTCGGCAGCAGCGCCTCCACCCACCTGTTCGACTCTCGTTCGTTATAATGACGCATTCACTCCAGACCATCACTGCAAACAATTGTTCACCATCCAAGAGTGACAAAAGAGAGCAACAACAAGGCGATGATGGACGAAAGTTAAGGAGAAGTGGATATTGAAGATGATTCAATTACTTGATGTTGAATTTACTCTTGAGGACAAGAGTTATTTTTAGAGGGAGAGAATGGTACTATTTATTATTTTTACTTTATTATTTTCTGAATTATTGGGTTGTTTAAGTAGTGAGTAGTTATTTCTATTTCAACTTTCCTAAGTGATAGGGTACTATTATTAGTGAAGTCTATATAGTGTTAGTGAATAGTTATTTCTAAAGTTGTTTTGTATTATCTATTTAAATAAAGATAATCATCAGAATTATTTGAAAAAAAAAAAACACTCTGTGCAGCAAGTCAGGCATCATCAGTAAAGTTATTTGAGATCAGGCGTTTTCAATAAAATCAAATTTCTATTTTTATTTATCATGGAAGCTAAATTTCTATTTTTATTTATTATATTCGTAATAGAATCTTTGCATGAAACCCTAAAAAAATTATAAAACTCCATTATTAGAAAAGTCACGTTTTTCAAAGAAAGTTTTCGACCGAATAAAATCTCTTAAAAGATATTAACGTTTTGTTGACGGAATAAAGAAAGAAAAGTCTCGGGACGGAAAATGCCAAATTTTCCGTCAAAAAATAATATAATTAGTGCACTCGTTTTGACGTTTTGTTACATGTAGAAGGGAATGGAAATTTTGACGGAAACAATTTGATTGAAAACTTTCCGTCCATAATGGGTTATTTCCGTCAGAGAGTTTGACGGATCGTTAGATTCCTTTGGTCGATGAGGATAACGTTTTACGGAAATGTTTCACATTGAGGTGCTCATCTCTCACACACACTCACTCACTTTGCATTGAAGCACTTCTGTGACCGATTTGGAAGGAATTTCTCTCTCACTGTACCGACTTGGGACCATCGTTTGCATTGTTGGATCGAGGCTCAGAGGTAGAGTGTGAGCACTTCGATTTTTTAGCACAATTTGTGAGTGCAATTATATTTCGATTAGGAATTGGTCTCCAGTCTGTGTCTCCTTCGATAGTCATTTTTCTCATCTCTTTCTTTGCCCTCATTCTGTGACTTCAATTTCTGCACTCTTCTCTTCAAATTTTTTGGTTTAATCCTTTATGTTATACATAAAACACCCAATTTGGAATTGAGGTGTAAAGTGTATTGTCATTGAGGTGGTTTATTTAGATTAGACCTCTCATGTTTCTTTAATTTCTCTTTTCCATGTTTGATTGATAGCAGAGAGGGGCTTCTCCATTCAAAAGAGCAATAAATTATATCCTTATATATTGCCTTACTCCACCTATCACATGTATTCCATCCCTAGTGAGGTTTATAAGCTAACAGTGACAAGTTTTTTCATGCAGAACCTTGATTCACTCACTGTTCCAATGATTTGTTCTTCCTAGGATACTCGAATCGTTCTGAATGGAAATCAATTCTCTTGCACTCGCTTCTTGCCGTATGTCCATTCTGCAAAAGGACTCTGGCAGTGGATCTCCACCACAACGCAAGAAGGTTTTCAATTTATCATTCTAAGATTTAAACTTTTCTCCATTCATCACTTCAATAAGTATCCTGTCCATAATTGTTATTATTATTAACAAAACAGACTTAGTTGCAGATATTTAGCTCCAGCCCATTATTTTATCTTGCATTTAATCATGAATTTAATGGTACTTGCCTTTGAAGTTTCGTGGGAGTGGTTGTATTTAATCATGAATCCCCTTGTTCTCTGATGTACCTGATGAGGAAAATGCTATTGTGCTTACGGTTAAAATTCCCAATTTCTTGCATTTATGATGAACATCCAAACTTCAGTTTTGGGTTTGCGATTATGTAGACTTTTGTTAAAAATCACACTTTGTGCTGACTACTTTTTTTTTTTTTTTTTTTTAAATTTTGGGGAATGTGCTTTGGGCAGGTAATCTCGCGGCAAAATGAAAATGGATTTTTTGGTGGGGTGGATAGCTGTATAGATTGCTCTTCTTTGGTTGAGAACTCGAGTAGGAAAAGAATGCCTGATCAATCTAATAGGGCTTTTGGTGATATTAAAGTTGATGGTTATCTGCCTAAAATATCTACTTTGTCTGCATTGATGTTATATTATACGGAGAATGGCCTCTTTTCTCAAGCCCAGACTGTGTGGGAGCAACTCCTAAATAGTTCTTTTGTGCCTTCTATTCGATTCATTTCAAAATTATTTGATGCTTATGGAAAGCAAGGGAATTTGGATGAAGTGATCAATATTTTACATTATGTGGATTCGAGGAATTTCAATATATTACCTGATGTTTACTCATTAGCTATCTCTTGTTTTGGAAGAGGAGGACAGCTTGAGTTGATGGAAGATACAACAAAGGAGATGGTTTTGAGGGGTTTCCATATCGGTTCTAAGACTGCCAATGCTTTCCTTTTGTATTATTGTATTTTTGGTTCTTTGAGAGAGATGGAGAATGCATATGGCCGCCTTAAGAGATCAAGATTTCTAATAGAGGAGGAAGTGATTCGGGCCATGGCCTCTGCATATATAAAGGAGAGAAAATTCTATGAATTGGGTGAGCTCTTAAGAGATGTGGGCCTAGGAAGGAAAAATGTAGGAAACCTTTTATGGAACCTTATGTTACTTTCTTATGCTGCCAATTTCAAAATGAAAAGCTTGCAGAGAGAATTTCTTAGAATGATGGAAGCTGGGTTCCACCCTGATATTACAACCTTTAATATCCGTGCCCTAGCCTTTTCAAGGATGTCTCTATTTTGGGACCTCCACCTTAGCATTGAACATATGAAATATGAAAAAGTCTTTCCTGATCTAGTAACTTATGGCTGTGTAGTTGATGCATACTTGGATAGAAACCTTGGAAGAAACTTGGACTTCATTTTAAACAAAATGAACTTGGATGACTCTCCAGAATTGTTAACCGAACCGTTTGTATTTGAAGCCTTAGGTAAAGGGGACTTTCACATGAGTTCAGAAGCATTTTTTGATTTAAAGACACGAAGGAAATGGACTTACAGGGTTTTAATACAAAAATATCTTAACAAACATTATCGGAGGAACCAGATATTTTGGAACTACTAACTGATTGTCTGATGTTTCAGTCCATTCAATTTCTGGCCAGGTAGTTATTTTGAATAACCTCTTACTGAATTGTGGGGTCAGCAAAACAAAGAGCTAACTATCTTTCTTTGTTTTCTTTTGACAAGATTTGAATCCTACTTTTCTTTTCTTTTTCTTTTTTTTCAAATTTAAATTTAGGATGAAAATGGGACTCTTTGCGAAGAAATCTAAAAAAAAGGTGAAACAGTGATAGTGATTTGGATGAATACAATGATTTGGAGTACGAGAAGATAAGTGTTGATGCAAAGTTTTATTATGTGGTATAACCTTAGTGATTTCTTGGTGGAATGTGATTAAGGATTATTTTGCTGATGTAGGTGGAGGATGATTATGTTGATGATGATGGTAAGGAGGAGGAGGACAAAGAAGAACAACATGGAGAGGAGGGAACAGATGGGGAAGAAAATAGAGAAATAGAGCAAAGTGGATGGAAAATTATGAGATGGAATAGCAGCAGAAAGAGTATGATCTTTATCACCAGGAGCTGTAAGATTCCATTTAACATTTATATACATTTATCTGTGAAGTCTTTATTTTTTATTTAATGTACTTGTTATACTAGTTATGTTTGTGTTGAGAGCGTAAAATTTAATTTTGCATAAAATATATCTTGTTGTATCAAACATAATACAGAGACAGCAGTCAGATTGATTGCTGTGTATATCTTCAAAATGTGAATGAAGGTTGTCTCAGATTAACATTTTAGATATGTTTTCACTGAAGTACACTGTATATATTAATCCGTTTATTTGCTGGTACACGGTATATCTTTTGTATGCCCTTCTGCTTATGATACCGCATGGTTTGCAATGATACCTGATTCTCAGAAACCTTCCCAACCCATGTTCGAAAATTGCTTCGAGTGGCTGCTCATCAACCAAAAACAGCAAGGGTTTTGGGAAGAGTGTGATGCTTTTGGCAAACTCACCTTGGAATCGAGTCCTGCAAATCTTGCTTCCGTGGTTGCACTCATGACCACTCAGTTAAAGACACTAATAGTCTAATATAATATTTAGTTATTAGGTCTAAGTATATGAATAATTTTTATATTATCTCTAACATTATTGATCCCATTTGTCTCTTAACGCTCAAATAACTAATGAACTACACATATATTTGCTTTTTTTGAATGTCTGGCTTGGCGTTCATTGAAACAAATACTGAGAAGCTGCTCAAGGATATCCATAACTTTTACCCTCGTGGTTTTACTATTGTTTTTCCTGCCATGATTCAACTTTTAGAGAAATGATAACCGTTGATCGGCGGAAATCAACGGTTAAGATGTGGTTGTAACATTGTGCGTAACATTATTTGTGTCACAATATCCTATCCCTTTCTTTATATACTATTTTTTTTGTTTTGAAAGCCAACGTATCATAAAATGCCTTTCTTTTATTTTATTACTTTTATATTGTTTTTAGAAACTGACTCGCTTAACTTTTCTTTTTGAAATGTGAATGTTTACTTTTTATTATTTTATTATTATTTTGTTTTCCAAAAGTTAAACTCACGTAACATTTTTGAAACCTGTAACTTCTTCTCTCTCTTTTTTTATTATTATATTTATGTAATCAAAACCTAAAACTCACGTGATACTATATGCAGATTTCTTTTCAATTCAATAACGTTTTTTTATTGTATTTCTTTAAAAAAATAATACCACGTGACCTGATGAATAAAACAAGGCTTTTTCACCCTTTTGCCCCTTATTAATTAATAACCATTTTGCCCCTGATTCGAAATTATCTACCAATCTGCCCCTCTTTAATCGACTACCTTACATTTTTAATCGACTAAACGGTTGTTGGGAGATTTAATCGACTAAATCTCCCTACTTAATCGATTAAAATCATATTGACTTATTTTTTTTTTTTTGTCAAATATGAAGATTTAGTTGACTAAATAGGGAGATTTAGTCGACTAAATCTCCCAGCAGTCATTTTTTGTCAGTTTTGGCCATTTAGTCGATTAAAAATGCAAGGTAGTCGACTAAAGAGGGGCAGATTGATAAATAGTTTCGAATTAGGGACAAAATGATTATTAATTAATTAATAAGGGGCAAAAGGGTGAAAAAGCCAATAAAACAATACATTCAGTTTATTTTAATGGTAAAGTTACTTTGTTTTGTATTTGCTTTACTTTTTATTTTTCTTATAATATTTGTTTAATTATTTTAAATTTTAAAACTTAACCATAACAAACAAAACTAATCATTATTATTTAATATGAAATTAAATGCAATGATATGCATTGGAGCTTAGGAAGATACTATATGATATAATATTGTGTATAACAAAATATCTAAAAATACCTAACCACTTATATCTTCAAATTCCAACTTCAATTTGAGACTTTTTGTAAATCCTTTGTCATCATCAAAATATTTATTCCATAATGCATAAGAGGTTTTCAGGTTACAGTTTGGAAAAAGGAATATCCTAATTTTGTCACTACAGCAATAACATATATAGATTTCATCACAGAAGTTCGACTCTGTGATGCACCTGGGTGACTCGCTTGGATTGAGTTTTTCATAATTTATTTCTTTATTTACGGATTTTAATAATTATTACTTATTTCCTTTTTGTTATTTAAGATTATGTTTGAGTGTGCGTTGATTGTGCGTTATCTCCTTTGATTGCACATAATTATAGTTATTTATTTTATTTTTTTTGTTATTTTGTTTTTACATATTTAAGGCTTGGAGAACCCTATTGTTATTTGGTTATTTTTGGTTAAAGAAAATTAAGAAAAGAGAATAGTATTTTCTCGCAATCTTTGTATTTGTTTTTATTTCTGTTTAGTCAATTCCGTATTATTCTGTCCACATTCAGGTATATTTGCTACTTCTTCGAAGGATGGAACTGTACAATTGTTGAATGCTGCCCATGTAAGCTGTTACCTTTTCATCTTATTGTCTTTCTATATATATATATATATATATATATATATATATATATATTTTTTTTTTTTTTTCGTAAGTGGCCATTTTAGACCAGTAACTCATGTTGGGTGGTTTCGTGATATAGCCCACCAGTATTATCCCATTTTCTGTTCTTAAGGGGGGACTGTACGAATAATGTCATTGGATTTCCACCCGATTTATCCTGATATTCTTTGCTGGTGTGATGAGAATGATTTGATTCAACTGTGGAATATATGTAACGACGGATCAGAAGTTTACTCAAGTGCTTTAAGGTGAGCTTTACACGTTTTATCCAGATTATTTTTTTCAGATTTTTTCTAGAGGTTGAGCTTTGTCAAACTAGTAGAGTTTTTATTTAAAATAAAAAATATGAAAATATAAAAATTATTTATGAAATCACTTTTTACCACTTGAGTATTAATATGACACCATGTGATTCCCAAGTGTTAAGTTTTTTAGACCCACAGTCAAAAAGAAATAAATAAAAAAGATCAAATTATATCTAAGTAGTTTCCAAACTATATATTATTTTTAATAATTTTTATCTAAAACTATACTGTATTATTGGTGAATCAGCCTCATAACTGTTTTCATCATAAATCTAAATCAGCTCATCTTTCCTACTTTCGCTTGATTGAAATGGTTGTTTTGCAACGTATATAACATTACTGGATTTCATTTACTAATAGGGACATAGCAGAGATGTTCTTTTCATTTGTTGGCATCAAACTGGAAACCTCATTGCCTCTCTGAGTGAAGATGAGGCATGCATCTGGTCTGCTTCCTCAGATGGAAATTTACTACATATTTTGCATTGCGAAATGAGAAATTTGACTCGTGTATATCATGACCTCTTAGTCATTCGTGGCGGTAAGATAAACTCTTCATGCTTCAATTTATTATCTCCAGTATGGTTTACACTCATGAGTGCACCTTAAAAAAAAGAGAGCTTAGGACTGGCTACACCTTGTTTATTAGCATAAACTATATGTGAATCTATATAAGAGTGGCGGAGCCAGGATTTAATTTTAGCCGGAGTCAAAAAATTTGACATATCAAATTATAATTTTTTTTCATAATTACACAAATCTATTTGGAAAAAAATTTACTTAAAATTTTCAAAATAATAGGATCAATGTTATTTTAAGAAATAATAGTTATTTATTTAAAATTTAGAATATAATATAAAATAAAATTAATAAAGAAAGTGCAAATTATATATACATATATGAAAATTTCATGTGATTTTTATGCACATTTTCATGTAATCTTTGATAACATTATTTCATGTGATGTTAATGAAAGCTTATTTCATGTTATGTTAATGAAAATTGATTTCATGTGGTCTTTGTGAATAAATCTTTTTATTTTTTACATTTTAATTTCATTTGGGCCTACAAACTTTAGTTTGCAACTTTGTAGGTCTTACAAGTCGTATTCGGTTTTTTTAGTTTTTTATAATATGACAGGCCATAGATCAAGTATTTAATAGGCTAATAGGTCATTATAGGTTCCAAATATTTTACATAGGCTTAGCCTATCAAAGTCAAAATTTGACTTAACTTGGCCCATTTATATTCCTAGCCGTAACCGGTGAAGAACATTAACATAGAGGGACAACAAACTTCACACCTAAAAAGAAACATGGAATAATCAGCGACAAATGTCTAAAATCATTTAAATGACATTGGATCCACATAAATCATTTAATTAGTGTTTAGATATTTTAAAAATTTTAAAAATACAAAAAAAGAGGAAGTTGTTAATGGACATGTATAAAAAATTTTCATACTCCATATATATACATATATATATTCATTGATTTTTCTCTTTAACAGTTTCCACTAATTAATAACCAAAATAACATGAAAAATAGTTTTTTTTCGCTCTCCACGTCAGTTGAAGTGACTGAGGAAATAGAAAAAAAGTAATTTTTCATATTATAACTATGTTTTACAGGTAATATACAGTGTCAAAAACTAAAAGGATACAACGTTGTGTCCTTTGAAAGGAGAAACCCTTTTTCCTACTTTTAAATGTGTTTATTTAGTTTAATTGGGTCCATATTTTGAAATAGGTCAACTAATTATTTTTGTGATTAAGTTTAGAAGTCTTTCTTTTTTAAAATAATAGGATTAAGAATAAAAAATATAACTGATTAGAATAAAGCAGAAAAAAAATATACAGGATAAAAAATAAAAAAAAGGTAAAACCCAAAAATCACCGTACTATACATGTTCCTTATTATTTGTTTGTATTTAGATGATTTTTTGTTACTTTGTATTGAATATTTGATTTTCTATTTAGACGGTGTCAAATTATAATTTTTATCTTAGTTAATTATAATAAATTATATAATAAGTAAAAAAAAAAATAAACAGGTGCCAAGCTGGTTTGGATGTGGCTACGCCACTGCTATATAATATATGTAATCACTCAATTTTGTCCTAACACATAATAATAAAAAAGGAAAAAATAATAATAATGAAAAAATAAAAATAAAAGAGTTTAACTAGCATATATTAATCGGCTCATTTCGTGGCGGTGAAAACTGAAATTCTTCAAGCTGAAGAATTCTTTTTGATTGGACCCCGCGAGATTAACTTTTGCCTCCTGAAGCAAGGGATGCTAGTGTCTCATGCATAGTACAGCTTCCAATTCTTCAAAGCGAAGCAACTTTTTCATTGACCCTTTATGAGATGTCAGATTGCAAATTGCAATAAGAGTAGTTTGTTTCACCAGCTGCAACGACTCGGCTACCCAGATAAGGCACCGCCCAAGGTAAAAAAAAGAGGTTTTACTCTCTGCACCAGAGGGGGCCACACTGTTGAATCAAAAAGTATAGAAAACTAAGAGGATTTGAATATGTTGTTATATTTAATGAAATGGCTGATAGCCAATATATACACAAGTCGGTTATACAGAATCAAGGAGGATCAACTAGAATAAAGTATACTGTTCAACAAACTATACATGGAATAATAACAAACTATTCTTGCTAAAAACTAGGACTTAGTTGCTAAAGGATAAGATCAAAGGTGATCTTCTCCTAACACGCCCCCTCAAGTTGGAGCATGAAGTGATGAAATGCCCAACTTGCTGCGAAGAAAACTGAATTGCTTCATGCCAAGCGGTTTGGTAAATATGTCTGCGAGTTGCTGATCTGTACGAACGTAGGTAGTAGTGATTGTATTGCTGAGAACATGATCGCGTACAAAATGACAATCAATCTCTATATGTTTGGTACGTTCGTGGAAAACTGGATTAGCAGCTATTTGCATGGCAGATTGGTTATCACAGTGCAACTGCATAAGGTGTGAATGTGGAACATCAAGCGAGTCCAGAAACGATTTGATCCATAACAACTCAGCTGTAGCTGCTGCCATTGAACGATACTCAGCTTCAGCGGAGGAGCGAGACACTGTGGGTTGCTTCTTTGTTTTCCAAGAGATAGGAGAAGTACCCAACATGATAAAATAACCAGTAACTGATCGACGGGTGATTGGACAGCTAGCCCAATCCGAATCAGAATATCCACGAAGAAGGAGATCATTGTCGGATCGAAGGAGTAAACCTTGGCCAGGATCAGTTTTGATGTACCTTAAAACGCGGATGACAGCATCATATTGAGCAATAGTAGGATTTTGCATGAACTGGGAAAGAACATGGACGGAGTAACTTAACTCAGGTCTAGTAATTGTCAAGTAAACCAAACGTCCTATGAGTCTTCTGTAACGTGCGGGATCCGAGAATGGAGGACTTTCTGTAACTGCAAGCTTATGATTTGTTTCGAGAGGGAAGGCACATGGTTTGCACGCAAGGAGACCAGCGTCTTCCAATATGATGGACCGTGAGCTATTTCGATGCCAAGAAAATATTTAAGAATCCCCAAATCCTTGATGTGAAAGCATGACTGGAGAAAGACCTTGACATCGGTGCATAAGGCATCATTGTCGCCCGTTAGAATAATGTCATCAACGTAGATGAGAAGAGCAACAAAGTGGCCATCTTTGTGTAAGGTGAATAGGGTGTAATCTGCCTTGGATTGGATGAAGCCATATGATTCAATGGAGACCTTACCGAAGAAGTTTACATGCGGATCGATACCTTCAAACTGATACCATATAGAAAACTAAGAGGATTTGAATATGTTGTTATATTTAATGAAATGACTGATAGCCAATATATACACAAGTCGGTTATACAGAATCAAGGAGGATCAACTAGAATAAAGTATATTGTTCAACAAACTATACATGGAATAATAACAAACTATTCTTGCTAAAAACTAGGACTTAGTTGCTAAAGGATAAGATCAAAGGTGATCTTTTCCTAACAAAAAGCGTGCAAGGAGGAGACGCAAGAAACCCTCACGTGAAGAAAGCTCTTGGAATCGCTCTCTATAATTAAGCCCATATTTTGAAATAAGTCAACTAATTATTTTTGTAATTAAGTTTAGAAGTCTTTCTTTTTTAAAATAATAGGAGTAAGAAAAAATAATATAACTGATTAGTATAAAGCAGAAAAAAAATAGAAAAAAAATATACAGGATAAAAAATAAAAAAAAGGCAAAACACAAAAATCACCATACTATACATGTTCCTTATTATTTGTTTGTATTTAGATAATTTTTTGTTACTTTGTATTAAGTATTTGATTTTCTATTTAGACGGTGCCAAATTATAATTTTTATCTTAATTAATTATAATTAATTATATAATAATTAAAAATAAAATAAAATAAGCAGGTGCCAGCTGGCTTGGATGTGGCTCCGCCACTCTGTGTGTTTTCTTTAATAATACTGTTGTGTTCTTTGTTTCGTTCTTTCAGTTTCTCAGTCTTTGAAAGAGTTTGTGTTACATAGATTTCTAATTTCATCAAACGGATATGCATGGAAATGATGATCGTTCCCCAAATGAATCGGTAAGGTGGTGACAAAATAATGTTCAATCTTGAATGTTCTTTGTTTTGAGTTGAAAGATGATGCATCCTAATCATGTATTCGTAAATTTTCAGAAACCAAAGCTCACAAATGATTCAAGGGAGAAAGCAAGACCTTCGCTCCCTCCATTGTCAGAGTTGGAGCAGCAAATTCAAGAATTTAGGGAATTAATGAGCAGGTTTTTTTTGTCTTCTAATGTAACTTCTTGTTTTCTTTTTTATTTAATTAGCAGTTCCTAACGTATTACCTTTCTTATAGTTAGTTTACATATTTGGTTTATATTGATACAAAAGCTGAGTTCTACACTCTTGCTTCGTTTTCCTACGCAAAATTAAAAATGTTATTTATTGAACAGAGGACAATCTGGATTGGTTTTACATAATTCGTTTACTATTTTATTCATGGGTTTTATAAGAGTTATGTTGTAGGAAAAGTGATTGTGTTATGTTATAGAGATTCGTTTTGCGTGCCGAAGTTTTTTTTTTTTTTTTGCTGCGGGCCCCACAAAATGTTGTGAGTGTAGGAAAATTTTTGTGGTCATGTTAAATGATAGATGATAAACCCTTTATTCATTTTATTTCCACAGTAGACGTCCTTCTCGGGATGTTAGCAACCAGGTCTCGAGGCAATTATTTGGGGTATGTTCCAATCCCCCAATATAATATAATAAGAGTCACATTGGCAAACTTATAATTGGCATAACATATATATATATATATATATATGGGAAAGTAATTTTTATGTGACTGCAGAAGAGAAAATTTGCAGCAATACAGGATACGCGTCCGAATCCTGGATTTTTTTTGTTTTTTTTGTTTTGATAGGATCCGCACGTGTATCCTAGTGTTAAAAATTTGCTGCAACTTTTCTCATCAGCAGCCACATAATAGCAGGATAGACGGACCCATATATATATATATATATATATATATATATATATATATATATATATATATATTTTTTTATATTGGCAGGATAGCAGCAGAGTTGGCATTAGCCAGGGCCAGGGGAGTGGCGTAACTATGGACCCCCAGAAGGCCAGAATATTATACAAAGAAGAGATATTCTGCCTTCATATGGACCTCCTGAAAGAAGTGTGTCATGAACATATTTTTCTAGTTCTTGCATCTTTTTTTCTCTTTACGAGGGACTCTAGAAATTTTAGCCTATTATCTAAGTGATTACCTCTAAAAATACTCTGGTATTACACACAAGTCATTACCTCCACTATTATGTTGATTCTATAAAGTGGATTTGGAATGTTTTTTCTTATATCTATTTCGTTCCTAATAAAATATATCCCAGTGAAATCGGTACCGTATGCATGGTCTTTTATACACACATGTCTTACGTTGTCGTTATTCTCTGATGGATAAAATGGTGCACTAAATCAATAATAAAACTGATGCTTCCGTATTATGCTCCTCATATGGATTAAAATAATAACATGAATATTTAACTTTTGATTTATTTTTTTTTAAAGGCTGATTAGTGCATGTTTTTTAGATATTGATGGTTAGTTTATCTTTGCAGAAGACAAAAAAGGTCTCAATCTGATGCAAATAAGTGGATGGCCTTTGAGTGTAAGTGATGGATATGATTTTGAAATCTTTGTAGTAACAATTCCATATTTTATAGTCAGTTATTAGAAACTTCAAATGCAATTGAGAGTTCATACTATACTTTTAAATAGTTGATCTATTTTTTCATTTGTTAGCTAGAAATTGACCAAGATGCCTCCTGCGTCAGCAGGACCAGCAATTTATGCAGATGTTGCAAACACAAAATGAGCAAAAATTCCTTTTTCTACACGTTGGCTCCAAAACATTTCACAAGATTTAGAAGATGATTATTTGAGATAGAAATGTAATCACAGAGAGGACTCGTGCGAGCAATAATCATATCTTCGGTTCGTAGGAGTCTACGTTATGCACATTGCACAACTTGTCTGAAAGCTTACAGTGAAATTCGCGTGTACCTCGGTTTGAGATTGTGATAAGTGTCTAAGACACTATGTTTTTATGACTAAAAAGAGTTTAAATAATTATTAAAATAATTAAAAATATAGTGTTAAAACAATAAAATAGTAAAACAGAATGAATTGCCAACAAATAAACAAATTCTAAATATTTGTTGTTGTTTCAGGTTGTTGAGACTGGAATACTGGAATAACAAAGTAGCAAGACGAGGCAACGAATCCGCAGAGCAACGGTAAAATCAGAAATTAAATAATAAATAAAATAAAAATTGTAACGCTAGCTCCACTGCTCGCTAAAGCGAGCAAGTGGGCGAGCAGCTAGCAAAGTCACTAGCTAGAGCCAGCAAAATGGCCAGCAGCTAGCAAAGTCACTAGCTAGAGCGAGCAAAATGGCCAGCAGCTCGCTAAGGTCTTAGCACAAGCGACCGATGGAGCGAGCGGATCCAAGAAATTAAAGCCCATATTTTCCCTTTAAATGCAACGCAAAGGAAACACTGATGATGATTCTGGAACGCGAAGAAAGACGAAGTCAGGGACAAAGACAAAGGCAGGAGTGAAGAGGAATGATGGAGCGTTATAGAGGAGAAGGAATGGATGCAAGCTGCATCATTGATAGTCTCCATTAATCAAGTTTTACGATGAACCTTATTTCTTTTACTGTTTATTTCAATTCTGCATTTATAATTATGTCTAGCTAATTTACTTTTAGTAGTTAGGAAGATACAGAACCAATGAGTTCTTAGTTGATGTTTGTTTATTCTTATGAATTACATTCTTGTTTCTAAATTATGCAATCAATATGATATTTATGCTTAATTTTATTTATGACTTGATCACTCGTAGATAAACATATAAGTCATATATGACAATAGGGATGTTGGTGTATGATTCTGATTGGTCGATTGCTGGAATTTGCATGATATAGGGATAGACTTGTGAATTTTATAACTGTGAGTTCTTGCGTTAATGCTTATTTTATGAAAAAGTACTAAGGGATTAGGCTTTGGATTAGAATAAAGGATTAGATTACCAAGGGATTGAGATTTAATCAATTATAGAAAGAGCTGTTAATAATTTAATCTTGAAAGTAATCGTAAGAATAGGCAAACTCGTTAAGAAACCATTGGGGAAGTTGAATCCTAACTACGCCTTTTTATTAAAAACTCAAAAACCAATTTTTAGCTTAATCAATTCTGAATTTAATTTCTTAAATATTAAAAAAACCAAAAATAGTTTACAAATTCTATTTTTAATTTAATCACAACATTCTCAAAAACACCTTTAATGATCGATCCAACTTTAGTTAAATAAATATATTATTGCTTGGTCATGAGTCCTCGTGGGATCGACAACTCTACTTTATCACTTTATTACTTGTACGACCGGTGCACTTGCCGAGTTCGTCAACAAGTTTTTGGCGCCGTTGCCGGGGACTGATTTAATCAACATTAATTTTATTTATCAAATTATAGATTGGATCATTTTATTTTATTGTTATTTATTTTACTGTGTTAGTTTAATATTTTATTGTTTTTATTGTTATTTAGTTTATTTTGTTATTTTATTTTAATTTGTTTGCTTTAAATTTTAAATTTTCTGTTTAGTTAGTGGTTTCCGTTAGTTGGTCCACTGAGCCTTAGTTTTCTGGTTTATGCATCTGCGAGGCACTGTTAATCCCAGTGACCTACAGTACGAACCAGAGTTAGGACGTTTAGAAAGAACTAATAGGAGACGTTTGACCGCAAAGAAGACACAAGACGCATCGAGCTCCAATTCTGCGGAAGGACTAGTCATGGCCGAGGAAAACCAAAATCCACCCGAAGAACTGATGAGTCACTTCTTAAACCCTAATTTCTCGCATCCGACTGCGAGTATTAGGAGACCTCAAATCCATGCCAACAACTTCGAAATAAAAGCCTCCTTCCTGAATTTAATCCAAAGTAATCTATTCGAAGGAGACCCAATCGAAGACCCAAACCGCCACATCACTAAATTCCTACAATTGTGTAGCCTCATTAAAGCTAATGGGGTTCCTCCTGAAGAAATCTGTTTGTTGTTGTTTCCCTTTTCTTTAAAAGGAAGAGCACTTAATTGGCTGGAATTACAACCTGCTAATAGCATCGCTACGTGGGAAGATTTGGTTGAGAAATTCCAAAAGAAGTTCTTCCCATTATCCCGATTCTCTGAGTTGAAGGAACAAATTGACAACTTCAAGCAACTCGAAGGCGAATCTCTGTGCGTAGGATGGGGAAGATTTAAAGAACTAATCAGGAGATGTCCCCAATACGTTTTATCTAATGGCGAGAAAGTCCGAATTTTCTACAAAGGAGTTACTCCGACTTATCGAGTACTTCTTAACGCTGCAGCTGGAGGGAGTATCGGAGAAATCACTCCCACAAGGGCTATTGAACTGATTGAGAAGATGGCATCTGAAGACAACGAGGTCACACGAGTTCAACCTAAGAAAGGAGTGTTGCAGTTAGACGGGTACAACGCTGTGTTAGCCAAACAAGACAAGATGGATCAAAGGTTAGATTCACTTGTTAAACTCTTTACCCAAAATCAAATCTCTGCGGTTAATTCGCAATTTCCTGTAGTTTGCGACACTTGTGGTGGACCACACACTCCTGAAAACTGTGACGCTACGGTAACAATTGATTCGGCTCAGGTTCATGGAATCTGGAATAATCAGAGGAGAGAAAATCCTTATGGAAATACGTATAATCCGAGCTGGAGAAACCATCCTGGTCTGTCATACAAATCTGGGCATCAACAAAATAATACAAATTTCCAACAAGATCAACCTAATCAGAAGGCCGCTTGGGAAGTTGCATTTGAAAAGATGACTCAATCTCAAGCAAATTTCGCAGAAGAAACGAGAGCATCTTTTAAGAATCAAGAAGCTTCCATAAAGAATCTGGAGAATCAAATTGGTCAGCTTGCCAAATAGATGGCTGAGAGGCCTCCAGGAACCTTTCCTAGTAATACAATTATTAATCCCAAGGAACAATGTAATGCCATCATTACAAGGGAAAGTGTGGAAATACCAATAGCTGCACCGAGTAGTGAAAAAAGATGCAGAGAAGGAAAATCCTGCTGAAGAAAAAGTTGATGATCATGTCGATAGAGATGTCACAATTATTGGAGGACCATTAAATGACACCCCACATAAAAAAGTAATAAAGAAGCCTTCTTTATAAGAAAGAATGAAAGCGTTGGGGGATAACCCGTATGTTAAGTCTCCTTATCCTCAGAGGTTACAACAGCACGAGCAGAAGAAAAATTTCTCTAAATTCTTAGAGATTTTTAAGAAACTGCACATCAATATCCCTTTTGTGGAAGCTTTAGAGAAAATGCCATCATATGCTAAGTTTCTAAAAGAGATCTTAACCAAGAAGCGGAAGCTCACAGTAGAAGGATCCACTATTTTGACATAGGAGTGTGGTGCAATCACGCAGAAGAATTTACCTCCGAAATTAAAGGATCCAGGGAGTTTTAGTATCCCTTGCACGATTGGCTCGATGACAATAGAGAGAGTTTTATGTGATTTAGGTGCTAGCATCAACGTAATGCCATTATCTATGATGAAAAAGCTGGGAATCACAGAAGTGAAGCCGATCAATATGATTCTGCAACTAGCTGACTGCTCCACCAAGCAAGCATATGGAGTAATAGAGGACATACTTGTTAAGGTGGACAAGTTCATCTTCCCGATGGACTTTGTTATCTTGGATATAGAGGAGGACGCTATTGTTCCCATGATCTTTGGGAGACCTTTCTTAGCAACCTTCGGAGCACTAATTGATGTGCCTAAAGGTGAATTGATCTTAAGGGTGGAAGGAGAAAGGGCTATTCTCAGAATGTTTGAAAAAGAGACTCCACCACCTACAACTCAGCCAGAGAAAATTTTCTTTATTGAGGAAAAGAAGGCTGAAGAAGAAGAAAATAAAGATCATAAGCCAGATGAAAGTTGCAAGCCGGAGGTGAAGATGGCAAACATCAAGACTAAGTATAGAGTTCTTGAGGCCAAACCTTCTCGCCCATATGCACGAGAGTACTATTACGACAAAGCAATATTTATGATAAAAGGAATGGCATCATCTTTGAATTTTGGCTACAAGTCGCCATGATTAATGGAGATGTAACGTCAAGCTAATGACGTTAAACAAGCGCTCTTAGGAGGCAGCCTAAGAATTTATCGCTTTTAAGTTAATTATTTTAGTTTTATTTTTCTTTTGATTATCTGTTTTAATTAGTGATGACTCTGGTGATGTACAGATTTTATTTTCTCACTCTGTTGTGAGCATGATTGCTACTACTGACTTTATCTGATGATATTTTTTAGATGATGTGTGCAGTTCTTTCTTTTTGATTTATTAATTGCTGAGGACAGCAAATTCCTAAATCTGGGCATGGGGACGCACCGCACCATATATGTAGTAGCAGTTGGTACAACTATGATCCCTGTGATAAGAAGAGCCGCAAAATTTTTCAGAAAAACAAAGAAAAATTCTTTTCCTTATTCCTCTTTATTTTATTGTGTTTCTTCTTTCTGTCTAAATTACTAAATCATGCTAAGTTAGAATTAGTCAGTAAAAATTAATTTATGATGTGATGACATAGAATACATATATATATATATATATATATATATATATATATATATATATATATATATATATATATGAATAAGCATTGATTTAGTTAGTCTAAGAGTTAGTAAGAATAATAAAATTACAGTATGACTGATTGAGAAAGAGCATAAATTACTGAATTGCACACATATAACCGTGAGGTTTGAGCCTAAACAGAAAAAAATTTCAGTGTGCATTTTACTGTTGAAAATATTACCAGAACTTGTTTTGTTTCTCTTTGAAGTAATTATTTGCATGCATGTTTGAAATGATTGAGGCATTTTATTGTTTTAACTAGTTAGCCAAAAAGCCAACCATTATGATATCCTCTGTTTAGCCCCTTGAGCTTAAGCCTTTTCTGTTCTTAATACCTGTCATCTTAATTAGCCACTCTACATACACATCTACTTTAAATAAAATTGGATTATAGAAATTTCATGGTAGGGCGTAAACATGAGTACTTCGTCATGTAATTCAAAGTGGTGAAAAAGGAGTTTAGGCGAGTAGAGCAAAAGCAAAGGTTGGAAAATGGTGAAAAATAAAAATATTTATTGTTTCTATGCAAATAAAAGTGTCGTAAAATGAAAATGAAAAAGAGAAAAGTATTGGAGGTTGAAAAAGAAAAGAAATAAAAGTGCTGAAAAAAGAAAAAGGAAGGAAGAAAGGAGAAAAAGGATGATTGTTTGAGTGTTTACACTTTACCATGATCTTTTTGTATTTCATTGTTTTAGCTAGTTTTTCCTTATTTATCTTACCTTCAGCCCAGCCCCATTACAACCTGAATAAAGACCTCTTGATCTTTGTGCATGTGAATTAAGTATGGAAAGTGAGAATATTACCAAGCTTATGAAAATATTGATACAGTGAAAATTTGAGTGAAACACTTACCCTTAGACAGATTAGTAATGAATGACTTGATATATCTAGTGAGGGATGTGTTAAAACTCAGTGTTTATGCTTGATTGACTGAACTCATACTTGGATTTTATAACTTACTTACTTTCAAGTCTGCTTAGTTAATTATTTGTTCTTAAAAATCCTCATATTTTTTTGTCTAAGTCTGATCATTCATAAATTGATGTATTGCCTAGTTTTATATTAAGCATGCTTACATTGATCATTCATAAATTGATGTATTGCCTAGTTTTATATTAAGCATGCTTACATTATTCCTTGTTTTTAATTCAATTCATTGCTGAGGACAGCAATGAGTAAATCTGGGAATGTTTTGATAAGTGTCTAAGACACTATGTTTTTATGGCTAAAAAGAGTTTAAATAATTATTAAAATAATTAAAAATATAGTGTTAAAACAATAAAATAGTAAAACAGAATGAATTGCCAAAAAATAAACAAATTCTAAATATTTGTTGTTGTTTCAGGTTGTTGAGACTGGAATAACAAAGTAAAAAGACGAGGCAACGAATCCGCAGAGCAATGAGAAAATCAGAAATTAAATAATAAATAAAATAAAAATTGTAACGCTAGCTCCACTGCTCGCTAAAGCGGGCAAGTGGGCGAGCAGCTAGCAAAGTCACTAGCTAGAGCCAGCAAAATGGCCAGCAGCTAGCAAAGTCACTAGCTAGAGCGAGCAAAATGGCCAGCAGCTCGCTAAGGTCTTAGCACAGGCGACCGATGGAGCGAGCGGATCCAAGAAATTAAAGCCCATATTTTCCCTTTAAATGCAACGCGAAGGAAACACTGATGATGATTCTGGAACGCGAAGAAAGATGAAGTCAGAGACAAAGACAAAAGCAGGAGTGAAGAGGAAGGAATGGATGCAAGCTGCATCATTGATAGTCTCCATTAATCAAGTTTTACGATGAACTTTATTTCTTTTACTGTTTATTTCAATTCTGCATTTATAATTATGTCTAGCTAATTTACTTTTAGTAGTTAGGAAGATACAGAACCAATAAGTTCTTAGTTGATGTTTGTTTATTCTTATGAATTACATTCTTGTTTCTAAATTATGCAATCAATATGATATTTATGCTTAGTTTTATTTACGACTTGATCACTCGTAGATAAGCATATGAGTCATATATGACAATAGGGATGTTGGTGTATGATTCTGATTGGTTGATTGCTGGAATTTGCATGATATAAGGATAGACTTGTGAATTTTATAACTGTGAGTTCTTGCGTTAATGCTTATTTTATGAAAAAGTACTAAGGGATTAGGCTTTGGATTAGAATAAAGGATTAGATTACCAAGGGATTGAGATTTAATCAATTATAGAAAGAGCTGTTAATAATTTAATCTTGAAAGTAATCGTAAGAATAGGCAAACTCGTTAAGAAACCATTGGGGAAGTTGAATCCTAACTACGCCTTTTTATTAAAAACTCAAAAACCAATTTTTAGCTTAATCAATTCTGAATTTAATTTCTTAAATATTAAAAAAACCAAAAATAGTTTACAAATTCTGTTTTTAATTTAATCACAACATTCTCAAAAACACCTTTAATGATCGATCCAACTTTAGTTAAATAAATAGATTATTGCTTGGTCATCAGTCCTCGTGGGATCGACAACTCTACTTTATCACTTTATTACTTGTACGACCGGTGCACTTGCCGAGTTCGTCAACAGATTGCTCTATGAGGCAAAAAATTGTTGGAAACTAGATATGAAAACCTCAATTAAGATAATAAAAAAGAATGTTAGCAGTTAAGTTCAACACAGTCAGAAGAGAATGTTGGCAGTTATATTAATTAAATCTTTATTCAATTTTGTAGGTGGCTTTTCTTTCGAAGAAGTTACTTGCCACCATCTTTCAAGCATAATCGAGTCTTTTTTCTCCTGCAATTTTTCAACAGACGAAGATTTTTTGGCATGTGCTGGACATGGGGGGAAGGTAATTCAATTCAATGTGACAAAGGTTTGTTTTTTTTGTAACCAATTATTTATAGCTTATTGTTTTTTACAATGACAGGTTACAGTTTGGAAAAAGGAATATTCTAATTTTGTCACTACAGCAGTAACACATAGATTTCATCTCAAAAGTTCGATTATGTCCAGGGTCAATTATATTTGCTACATCTTCCTATGATGGAACTGTACAATTATGGAATGCAGCCTATGTAAGCTGTTACCTTTTCATCTTATTGTCTTTCTGTATATATATTTCGTAAGTGGCCATTTTAGACCAGTAACTCATGTTGGGTGCTTTCGTGATATAGCCCACCAGTATTATCCCATTTTCTGTTCTTAAGGGGGGGACTGGACGAATAATGTCATTGGATTTCCACCCGATATATCCTGCTATTCTTTGCTGGTGTGATGAGAATAATTTGATTCAACTGTGGAATATTT